TTCAACTTAAGAACGTTTCAACTTAAGAACACCATTCCAAAACGGATTAAGTTCTTAAGTAGAGGTTCCACTGTAGTTTCTATGGACAGAAAAGAGCAGATACGGATTAAATGGTTTTCAGTGCATTCCTATGGGAAATGCAGATTCAACATAAGAACTTTTCAACTTGAGAACCACCTTCCAATACGGATTAAGTTCTTAAGTAGAGACCCCACTGTAGTGGTAGTTGTAGTGGTAGTAGTAACAACAACAACAATAACACTTGAATGCCCACCATGTGTTTCTATGTATGAATGATCACCAAGTATTGTTATGCCCCATAAGAAGTTAAGTGCAGGCAGTAGATGGGGAAAATTTCTTGCAGAATATAGTGGAAGGGTTAAATTAATACATTTGTATGAAGTTCTACACAAAGCAAACAGAAAATCCTTTTTATTTCTAAAATTTTCAGTAGAAAAAGGGGTATTCAAGCATGTGACAATCAGCAGATCTCCATCTGCATTATATTGAGAAGTCTGTGGGTGAAATTTGGAAACGCAGTAGAGAAAGTACATTGGTGAAGCAGAGAACAAGTTGCACCGGGGAATGGGCAAATTCCCAGGGCAACCCTGATAGGGCAGATTGGAGCAGCAGACAGCCTGTGATGGATGGGAACTGCACCAGCAGTATGAGGCACAGTTGAGTGAGTGAGCATAATCTTGGAGTAGCAGTTGGAAGAATAAGAGGGGGCAGCGGAATGAAGTATGGCACACCTGGTATTGTGGGTAATGTGTGCCATTTTCTCTTACTTCAGGGAGATTTCAGAAAGGCCCAGCAGGTAGGTTGACATTTTAAAAACACCATTTTTTACACATCTGAACAGTGTGGACTGAAAGTGTCCCCTGCCTGAGAGAACACTCTCTCACTAGGTACATTGGTTGGTGGACAAGACAGCAGCTCCACTGCTACCTTGGCTAGACCTACCAAAACAGATTCCTCCTCAGCCCAGCAAGACAAGGGATGAGTCTCTTTTGGTGTGCAGAGCTCCTGTATGTAGACCTTTACCTCTATCTCTCCCATGTCCTTCATCTGGTGTGGTGTCTCTGAAGGACAGGCCCCTGCCATGCTTGTCAAGGCAGTGTCCCAGAAAGCTTGCACTGTTGTTGCAGGGGTGAGGGACATGGATTCTAGAATACTTCTGCTGGTACTGCTGTTTGGGGTGATATTGCTAGTTTCTTCCTGCTCTGTGTGATCCCTCCGTGCTAGCCAGACCTTCTTCATTAGCTGCTGCTGCTGCATGTGATGGAAAGTTGGCTGACCTTGACTCCCCTCCTGCTTATTATCTATTTCTATGTGCCCATTTGCCTCCTTGCTTCCCTGGGCTGGTGGCTCAACCTCTACCCTCTGATGACTCTTAGCCTTCACAAAAGGAAGCCATTTGCACCCACAATACCCATTTCATTTGCCGGCAGCAGTGCTCTGTGCTGATTCTTCAAGTGGCTGAAAATGCTACTATTGGAGAGATGGTTCAGACCCTGGGCATACTTTAGCACTGTGTTCAGTCATGTGAGCATCTGTTGCACACTGTTGAAAATGCTTCCAGATTATTGACTTCTTGGGAGCTCCAGTTTTTGACTGCATGTTCTTAACAGGGATTGCTAACTTGTCATCACTACTAGTTCCAGCAGTGTGAGTGGCATGTGTAGCTGGAGGGCACAGGGTGATTTCAGTGTCACATGTTTCTGAAATAGGGCCCACATGATTCCTTCCCCCACCTACATCAGATGCATATGTACTTGAAGGGGATTCCCACAAATCACAATACTGCTTTGCACAGAAGAGATTTGCTGGGAGTGGTTACTAGAGGCAAACCCTTCATAGAATATGATGTAGCTACGTGGTATGGATATAGAAGGCAATGTCCGGTGTTCATAAATCTCTTTCCCAACCACAAAAGCAGTAGCACTGCTGCTGCCTAAGCTGGCAGTGTCAGTCTAAATGTTGATGACATCCTTGTCCTCTCTGGCCTATCGGCTCTTTGGGACAAAAATGCCTTCAACATCCTTTGTCCCCTTGTCTTGTTCGCAAAATCTTGTTCAAAATCTGTATAACAAAATCTTATTTCTCTGTCCAATATACCTCAAAGAGGAATAAACTTAATACAGTATGCCCGTGGTAACGGGGAGGGGGGTCAATTTAAAGTCCCTACTGTATAATATTTCCTTGATGATTTATAACAGATTAATCTATGAATCTACTAATCCTATATATCATTTTAAATTATATTAAGTAAGCAATATATAATGAGATGTAGAGAATGTAAACTTGAGGGCTCAGAAAAGGATACAGAGAACTGCTACAGTGCAAGCTTGCATCAGAACATCTCCTAACAGGAGATGCTCTGGGAATTCATAAGCAGCTGTGCCTACTTTTCAACGGGGGCGGGGGGGAACAGTGTAAAAAAAAACCTTCTGGTCTCTTTACTTGTTTCTGAATTTCATTGGTGTAGACCACTGGTTCTTAACCTTGGGTTACTCAGGAGTTTTGGACTGCAACTCCCAGAAGCCTTCACCACCACCTGTCCTGACTGGGGTTTCTGGGAGTTGCAGTTCAAAAGCATCCGAGTAACAAAGGTTAAGAACTACTGGTGTAGACAGACATCATTTATAGGTTTTGTTCTTAACCCAGCTCCCTTCCCTTGGAAAATCCATGGCAACCCCATCAGGAGACCAGAGTTCTCTGCCCCACTACCCTTGGTTCCAGAGTACTGTATCTTTAAGTTTCCTTTCTTAAGAAATTGCTCCAGGATGCCTAAGAAATAGGTTTCACTGTAATTTCTTCTTCTACCAAATAGAAGCCTACCCTTTTGCTTTCTAAGCTATTGGAATACATAGAACTCCACATATTTAGAAATTATTACAGCAGAGAGTCAAAACTATTAAATTTGAAATCGGCTCTATTTTGGAATTATTCAAATATGGCAATATTTGGTGAATTTTGAATATTTTTGAATCAGAGTGCACATATTTAGTTTTCACTCTAGTTGTGGATGAACCACCCTCACATTTTACTTTAGGAGTGAAGCAAAGGAAGAACACTTCCCAGCTCTGATCCTGGGAACAGGAATAGTGACTTCTACACAGTAGTACACCGCAGAATGTAATAGCATTGCCTTTGAAGGAAGATGACTTCCTGTAATTAACACACATAAACTTCAAATGCCTTTAATGTAACGAGGTGCTAACTGGCAATTTTCACCCCCTTTTTAAAAAGTTGTGTTTCCAAACTGGCTTAGTGATCATTTGTTTCAGCACTGACTTTGGAAAGCCTTTTTCAAACAACCTGAAGAGAACAGGCACTCAGTTGAGGGGAAGTGACATTCTCACAGGTGCTCTTTGTATCAGTCACATAAGGCAGAAAGCAGAGAAAAGCAATACCAGTGAATTGGAGCAAAATCAAACCACCCCTGCCAGCTGAACAACAACAAAAAAGTTTTCTCTTCTAAAAAGAGATGATTTCCCTCCACCAGGTTTCTCTGTTTTTAGCTTTTCATTGTGTAGTCACCAGTTTTTAATTTGATTTCATTTGTTCCAAATCCAGTGCATACTGTAGAGTAAATAACCAGTATAGATGTCCTTGAAACATTCGGTTGGTAAAACATAAACAACTCTATGTACTGTATTTGTAATTTTACTTTCCAGTTGCTGAAGTAAGATCAAAACAAGCTTGATTTAGTTTCTGTGCATCTTATCCACCAGTCTAGATGTTTCTGCCACATACTGCTATTTGCTTTAACTGATGGTTCAATAAACGTTCCCTGTTCCATGCAGACAGGAATGTGATTTGTTCTGTGTGGTATATTTAAAGCTCTCACTGTCTTGATAGTATCTTGGCAAGTGACTTACTGGCTTTGCCTTGACAGGCAGGTTGGAGAGAAACTACGTACTGTATATACTGAGTTCTCAATTGATGGATCTGAGGCACAGAAATTAATTCAGGTAAGACAATCCTTCAGTCTGAATATACTGTATAGGCTACTTTGTTCAAGGCAAGTTTTTATTCCTCCATTACTGCGTCTGATATGAATCCTTCCAGGATGGTTTGCAGTTGCCATTTGGGATCACATCTCTATCCTACTCTTACTCCACAGAGCTCAGGTGGACAAACAGGGAATCCTGACAAAATGTCTCTAGCTGTGAAGTAGGTTAGTCTTAATTACTGACCTTGAGGAACTTGGTATGCTTTGGCAATCTGTTGAGTATACATTGCATACGATATAACTTCAGATTTGTTTGTACTGCTAACAATATATAAAAGATACATTAATTTTGCTTTAAAGTTTTGCCGAAAATTTCCACTGTTATGACTTCAAGAACTGTTAAATTATAATAAAAGAATTCTAATGTTAGAACTTGTGGATTACCCACTTCTTGCTTTTAGATAAATGGAAAATATATTGTTATATGTTGAAGATTTTTCCTCTATTGATACTTTTATCACTAGTTTTTAAAAATCTTATAATTTCACCTTCTAGATACCTCTGAGTAAGGAGATAATTTATGTAAATTAAATCCTAAGCAATAGCTTATACTATGATATTTTAAGAAAGGAACAAAAGTGCAGTTTTAAGATTTTATATTCAGTTGCCAGTTTAAAATTTCTGAGGTCAACTAAGTGTGAGTGGGGTGAATCTGATCCACCATGTGTTGTGCATCCTTGCATGAGAGGTAGTGTTGTAGTGTTTCAGCCCAAATGAACAAATACAAGAATCTTCTGTCAATAGTTTGTGTAGTCATTTGCTTAAAAGATGTATAGGGCTCTTAACATAATTTAACTAAATTATCAAAGCAAAACATGGGTTTAAAGCCAGTCGTAGAAAACTGCAGTCAGTTATTGAGCTGCAGTTTATGAAAACATATGGAAGTATCTCAGCTGTATGGGAAATAATTGTATTATTAGGGAATGAATATCCTCATGTCTGCATGTTTATATTTTCTTATCTTTTTTTTTAACTTGTATAGAGAAGTTGGAGGTTGCACCACCATCCACTGGACAGCTGAAGCATGGTAAATTTTAAGTATCTAAAGTTTTAAAAATGACATCAGAGCAATCCTGTAATCTGGGGCGTGTGTGTTAATCTGTGACCCAGAAACATAAATTTCTTAACCACTGTCAAATCACACTTGCTGGAGTGTAGTATGTTTGAGGGGGGAGTGCTGGATTTTCAAACATTACTTCCTTCCAGCTTTCTGCCTCTTATTATTTTCCCCCTTCCTATTGACACTTATTGGAAGGAAAATAGTTTGGCTGGTTACAGAGCTTCTGCCAAGAGAGGGGGCTTGATAGTATTCTAAGAGCCTTTGTGTGCACTTTCAGGGACAGTAGGACTGTTTTAACTGTGTAGAATACCTCTCCTGCTAATGAAGGCCCCCCCCCCCGAAGTCTCATGCAGGGCACCCACTTGAATACTGTATAGTGGAAGGGTAAATAAATGGACCTTTGAAATAGAAAGGATACATTTGGCTTTTTAAATCAGGGCTTCTCAGACCTCTTTTTCTCTCCTCCAAATTATGAATGAATCGGGAAGCTAATGGGATGTGGTGGCGCTGTGGGTTAAACCGCAGAAGCCTCTGTGCTGCAAGGTCAGAAAACCAGCCGTCGTAAGATCGAATTCACGCGACGGAGTGAGCTCCTGTCACTTCGCCCATCTCCTGCCAACCTAGCAGTTCGAAAGCATGTAAATGCGAGTAGATAAATAGGTACCACCATGATGAGAAGGTAATGGCATTCCGTCTCTAGTTGCTCTGGCGACGTGACCACGGAAACTGTCTACGGACAAACGCCGGGCTCTACAGCTTGGAGATGGGGATGAGCACCGTGCTCTAGAGTTGGACACGACTGGACTAAATGTCAAGGGGAACCTTTACCTTTACCCAGGAAGCTTGCTTAATTTAGTAAAGCAACTGTACTAAAGTAATTAATTGTTTGCTTTTAGTTAAAATGTGACCATGGGTTGGAAGGGCAGTAATGAAATAGGAACTTGAGAGAATTAAGCTGCTCCATCCACACCTTTGGTACGGAAGTGATTCATTCTCTCTCTGACTGATTTCTTCCATGTCTGGAGTTATTTGGAGAATTAAGGTAAACTGGGCCTGCAATGGCTGCTTCAGAATATACCACATGCAAAGGCTACAAATTGTTGTGTGTACAGGATAACATGCGGAACTCTGCCCTGAGTTATATAACATAATTAATTTCTGTAATCATTATTTATTTTATTATTTATTTAAAATATTTCTATTCCACCTTTCTCCTTAAAAAGGATCCAAGGCAGCTTATGTAATTAAAAATACAATATTTAAAAGCTAAAATGGCAAGTATATAAATATTAAAAAGTTTAAGAAAGAATTAAACAAGTATATTAAAAACGGAAAATAAAATCAGTTCTAAAACACCTTTAAAACAACAGTTTTAACATAACACAATATAATTAATATATCCTAGTTCTTCTGAAGGGTTCTTTGAATTATTGGCAAGTATATAAATATTAAAATGTTTAAGAAAGAATTAAACAAGTATATTAAAAACGGAAAATAAAATCAGTTCTAAAACACCTTTAAAACAACAGTTTTAACATAACACAATATAATTAATATATCCTAGTTCTTCTGAAGGGTTCTTTGAATTATTTCAAAGAATAGGGAGATTGATAAATTAAGCCATGACTTGTTGTGCAAACTTCAAACATTTAAAAGCACTCCTCAAACACATCTCTTTTTTTTTCTAGTGTTCTTCCACAATGCAATACCTTTTGTAGGATTTGGATTTTTTGATAATGCAATTATGATTGCTGCGGTAAGTCACGTTTCTCTTTGGTAAAACCGCGGTTATCTAAAATTATAATCAATTTACCTTAATAAAATAATTTGTGACGCTGATTTCAGGAAGGATTTTACTGTATCAAATCTGTGTTAATCTATTACTCTATAAGAAGTAATAACATATAGGATATATTTTGAGGCTTCTCGAAGAACTCTAGGGAATGTTTCCTTAATAGCACCTGTTTTTATTTATTTTATATATAAATACATATTATTTTTATATAAATAAATATATATAAAACAGATGCTAGTTTATATATAAACTGTTGTTGTTATATAATATATTGGTAGTAATGAAATTGGTATTATATTGATATATTGGTAGTAATGAAACATTCTATTAAAGCACTCTTAATTCCTTTCAGGGCACACAAATAGAATTGTCAATAGGGATTGTGCTTGGAATTTCTACTATGGCAGGCAAGTAAACTATGTACTTTGGTTGTCCATATGTATTGTGTTGTAGTTCTTCATTAAGCCCTACTGTGTCTGTGTACAAGTGAATGCTGCTTGTCTTTTGGGGAAGTAAATACTTGTTCTTAGTAGTATCATAAAATAAATTTTGTCACTAGATTAGCTTATGAAAACTCAGTTTTTTCTTTTTTCCTCTGCCTTCTTTTTAACCCAAAGAAATCTATTCATATCACTTATCAGCCAACTCTACTTCAAGTTCAGATTGCCTTATATGAGCTTCTTTTTCACCCATGAGGTTAGGTCCCAATGGCTAAAAATCCCTTTTGCAGGTGGTAATTTTGAGCAGGAAAAATCTGAGGGAAGGTGTTTCGTACATTCCGTTCTTTTGTTTAAGGGTAGTCTCTTGAGCGGTTGCTATCCTTTAGAGCGGTGGTCCCCAACCTTGGGCATCCAGATGTTCTTGGACTTCAAATCCCAGAAATCCTGGGCAGTAGAAGTGGTGGTGTAGGCTTTAGAGTGAAAATAATTTCTCAGTACAGGTGGAAGCTAAAGGGTTGCCCTCCTCACATACCTAAGTTTTGAAGTAGAGAACAAAAATTCCCTATTTATTTTAACTCATTCCCGTTGCTCAATATTTTACTGTGGCTTTTTAAAATGTTTGAAATAATGGATTGGAAAGTTAAGAAAGAGACAAGTTATTAGAATAAAAGATTATGTAGAAAAAAATGAGGAAGAAAGCAAATAAAATAAGTGATAGGAATAGATAAAATATATTAGTATAATCTTATTCATTTGCAGCAGTGAACAAAGGACTGGATAAAAAAGAAATGGTAAATGTAGAGAAGTTACAAAACCTAAAGAGATTATATTACAAAAGTACAGGCAAAATAAGGTAACGAAAGGGATAGTAAATAAAATTTATAAAATATTATTGGAAGTAGAAGATCAGGAAGATTTACTTATAACATGGGAATATCATCTGGGGGAAGAAAGAAGTAACAGTATTTAGAATAATATATGGAATATTAGAACATTGGAATCTGTGTTACGAATGATGAAACAGAACTTCTGTAAGTTAATTTGTAGATACTACTGAACTCCAGTGAAATCAAATAAATTATTCTAATTAATGTGCTGGATAGAGTGCCAACAAGCAGGTACTTATTTTTATATGTAGTAGGAATGTGAGATTATATCAACATTTTGGCTTTTAAAGGAATAAATGAAATAAGTAAATTAAACTTAGCTGTATATCCTTAAAAAGTGCTTTTATAAATACAGTGGTGCCTCGCTTGACGACGTTAATTCATTCCAGCAAAATCGCTGGAGAGTGAAATCGTTGTCAAGCAAAATAAAAAAACCCATTGAAACGCATTGAAAACTGTTCAGTGCGTTCCAATGGGTGAAATACCTGCTCATCCAGCGAAGATCCTCCATATGGTGGCCATTTTCTGGTGCCTGTAAGGCGAGGAATCCGTCCCTAACACAGCGGGGAGCCATTTTCCACAGCCGGCGGCCATTTTGAAGCCTGATGATCAGCTGTTTTGCTGATCATCGTAAAGCGAAAAATCGGTTACCGAAACAGGGAACTGGTCAACATTAAGTGAAATTTCCCCATCTAAACATCGTTTTACGATCACAAAAGCGATTGCAAAAACTTCAACATTAAGCGGATTCGTCATCAAGCAGGGTAATCGTCCAGCGGGGCACCACTGTATTTGAAAAGGAGGAATGTAGTCAGACAACTAAAAAATTGATTTCTAACTGGTTACGAACTGTGAGATAGATTAGAGCTAGAAACTGAAAAAATAAGGTCTGTTTTCCAATTAAATTATTGGTATAGAGCATTGTGAGAAATAAATGTTAATGATATGCTGCCCTGTTTTCCCGAAAATAAGACCTAACCTGAAAATAAGGCCTGGTATGATTTTTCTGGATACTTGTAATATAAGCCTTACATCAAAATTAAGCCCCAGTTAAGTGAAACCCCGCCCTCCACTATTGGGCAGCAACCAGAAGATGACATGACTGTATTTGAATAAATGTAGATTGTTTTACATGAAAAAAATAAAACATCCCCTGAAAATAAGCCCTACTGTGTTTTTTGGAGCAAAAAAAAAATTAAGACCCAGTCTTATTTTCAGGGAAACATGGGTAACATGTAATATTTAAGTTAAGAAAGGGGGTAATAAATATGAATTTGCAGATATATGGGAAGTATTGATTGATTTTGTGTTAATAAAGGGGAAGGTATAAGCTCTTCACAAGTGTCTTTACAATTTTAGAAAGGGAACAGGGCTTCATGGAGGTACAGTGGGATCTTGACTTGAGAACTTAATCCTTATTGGAAGGCGGTTCTCAAGTCAAAAAGTTCGCAGGTCAAATCTGCATTTCCCATAGGAATGCATTGAAAACCATTCTATCCGTATCTGCTCTTTTCCGGCCATAGAAACTAATGGGAAGCTGCTATTCCGCGTTCGACCACTGGAGGGGGATATTTTGTTTCTTTTTTTCTTAGGTCAAGAAAGGTTCAGGGAAGGCAGGGAAAATACAGTCCAGGCAGTCCAGTACCAGGCAGTCCGAAGACTGTCTCCCAATCCACTCTCTAAACGCTGGGAGGAGTGAGGAAGCAGACAGGCACCCTTTTCACTGGCCAACAGTTAACTGAAAGTTCAAATTTTGCACTTTCCCTGCCCCCCACGTGGTTTTTTTCAGTTCGTAACTCAAATCTAAGTATGTAAGTCAAGTCAATATTTTCCTGTGAGAGTGGTTCTTAAGTCAAAATGTTCTTAACTCGGGCCGTTCTTAAGTCAAGACCCCACTGTAAATGGTTGCTACAATTGGTCCCATGAGAGAATGAAGCACTATGTTTAGTAGATGTTTGTTAATTGTTTATTTAATGTTTATATGATTTTCTTTGATTTTTTAAAAAACTAGAATTTTTAGGATTTATGCTTTATTACTTTATTGCTGTATTATAACATTTGTGTTCTTCAACATTTAGCTGCTGCCTTGGGCAATCTTGTCTCAGACTTAGCTGGATTGGGGTAAGTTTTAGTTATGTATTTGTAGAAAGTCAGTATTGCTTAAAGTAATCCTCAGTGAAGTGTCAGTCAATAAAATGTATAGATCAGAATAACATTTGTATATGCAGCACATCAGGTGCCAACACTGCTTGTGGTGCTGTGCAGAATAAGTCCACCTACATTTTTGTTCACAGCAGATGCAAATTGTTCCTCCTGGTTGCTGGGATTTCCATCTGCTCCTGTCAATCACATCAGGTTTAAGAACAGCAACAAAAAATACACAGTTATGTGGTATATAATCAGTATCATTATGGGAAAGTAATATCTTTACTAGACCATTGAAAAGAGAACATTCAACTCTTTTAGGACTTTTCTTTGGACCAGACATTAAGAGTTTATGAAGGGGAGAGAGAAAAATCCAGAAATCATCTGAGCTAGATTTTGAAGCTGTAGGAGCTAAAGTTAAACTAAAGTTCCAGTTTGGAGACAGCAAATGTGAAGAATTGGCTTGGATTTAGGTGGGATTGGGTTTCTGAGTGCTCTTACTCCCAGCCAAAACTGGCAGACTTTTATGTACAGTGAGTTATGTACAGAGGAGACTAGAAGATTAATAGAAATATATACAGAAATCTGTGGAGCCTCATAAACTTGGGGGTGCTAATCAAAGAAATGATGGACCCAATTTGCAAACTCTTTTTAAAAAAAGGGATGAGCATGCTATCTCATAATACAGAATTAGAAATTATAATCCTTATTCTACAATGAAATCTTCGGGCCGTAGCATGTTTTATATTAAAACTGCAATGACATAATAATGCAGTTTTTAAAAAAATCTGGCAAATTCAATTTTTAAAATTTTCAAATCTATTCTTGTCTGTTCTAACTTGGCCCTTTGAGTGCCCCCCTAGACCACCCTAGAGCTGCCCCAGTTAAAAAAAGGTCTATTTCTGCTCTACAGGCCTCTAGGAAGAATGACTTTCAGGTTATATTTGAGTAATTTTTTCCCTTAAAGACCACCCTACCACACAAAAATGAAAAATAGAAACTGAAAGTGTCTGTACAACTTCCTCAGTTTCATTTGTTTGCTTCATCACTCCACTCGAGCAATGTCCACTTCTACCGCGTTACTAAGGGGAGTGGACTTGACAGACATCTGCAGGGCTGCAACGTGGTCTAGAGCCTCCACGTTTATAAAACATTACAGCCTTGACCTCCGAGCCAAGCGAGAGGCCAGGTTTGGAAGAGCTGTCCTTTCCTCGTTACTTCAGTGACGGCCCTCCTCCGGTAAGATAGCTTGCTAATCACCCTTTCCGTGTGCATTCACAGAGTTTATGACGAAGAAGAAGAGGTTACTTACCTGTAACCATAGTTCTTCGAGTAAAACTCTGTGAATTCACACGGAAAGGGTTAAGTTCGCGCCTGCGCCGGACTTCTCCGAACATTCTAGAGCTTAGGAGAAAGATTTGAATAATTAGGCGTTGCCCCTATAAAGCCAGCTCCGCCCGCCCAAAGCCTCAGTTCCATTTTATCCGCCAGAGGTAAGCTCGTACATACATAGAGCCAATTAAGCAGTGACGGACAGAGGGGAGGCCGGGCGGGGCGTGTGAATTCACAGAGTTTTACTCGAAGAACTATGGTTACAGGTAAGTAACCTCTTCTT